ACGTGTTACCAGTACAAACTAATGCAAAAGTTGGTTCCAGCAATGGGGTGGTCCATAACAAACCTGACTGTTTTTTGGAATGGGTTTGAAAGAGAAATATATAAGAGTTTGGAACACTGGGCTCTAAAAATACTTAAAATATTTATAATAAAAATACTATACGCAGAGTTAAATGACCTATTCTGGTGGAAGCTTGGAAGACAAGAATACTGAAAGAAATGCAGATATCAAAGGACATGGGAATGAAGTTTCAGAGGCAAAAAGACCTCTATAAAGAATTGGGCCTTTGGGTTATACTCTGGTAAAGAATCCAGCTATATTCTGTCTGTGTCTTGAGAAATCTAGTGAGGCTGTTATGTACTATATACATAATTTACTAACTTATATGGCAGAAGGAACTTCAAGTGTGTGGAACAGCAGTGTGCGGGCTGAAGCATGGGAACAGCTCATTTAGGTCTATGGTCAGAAAAAGAAGAATTGAAAAATGGAAAGTTCATCAAGCAAAGTTGTATGAGTAGGTCTGTTCTTCCAGAGAACCCTGACTAATGAAGACATTGGCACCAGAAGTAGTTTTTGAGCAACAGAAATATACAGATGAATTTTTTAAGTATCTAGAACAGGCTTTCCAATTTGCCAACACTGACAGTTACTGAAGCCTCTCCCGTTACTCAAACTTCTAGATGTCTGAAGAGAACTGAAAGCCCATGGTGTAAACCATCTTAAGAACTTAAGGAGACAAATGCATTTGATTATCCTGATTGATTGCAAAAGACAAAAGATTTAGTGACTGTACATAAACCTGTTGGCAATTTGTAGGAAAATGATGATGCTGGTTGGTTGCTCCTAACATTTCTAGAAAATTTGAAAAAGGAAATGAATGAGCTCTGAGATAAAAACTTCTAGCATCTCAGAACACTGGGAAAGACAACAATGAATTCAATGATAAAACTAATTCTACATGTATATAAAAATAGCCTAAAAGTTTCCATGTGTGTTCTGGAAGAGAATCTTCTCTCTAGAAGCCAAAGAGCTCCAGCTGTGGAAAATCAAACCGAAAACCTTGGTATGAGGCTGGCTGAATTACTGTGAAGGTTTAGGCCCACCCTACACAGTTAAAGTAAGGCATTAATTAGTAAACAATGGGATCCCATAACTTGGGATGGAAATATGTAGGAGGACTCTAGTGAAGCTGAGAACTCTGAATTCAAAGGTATATACATTTACTGATTGATGCAGGGATCACTAAAGAAATTGGCAAAAAATTTAAAAAACTGACATAACACTTAGCTAATCAAAAGAAAAGACCTAAATTAATAAAATTTGATACAGAACAGCTCTCTATGAAACTCCTATCATCAGGACACACTTAAATCTGTATTTCTTTCTCCTTTTTTTCTTCTTTTTGGTTTTTCAAGACAGGGTTTCTTTGTCAGCTTTGGAGCCTGTCCTGGAACTCACTCTGTAGACCAGGCTGGCCTCAAACTCACAGAGATTTGCCTGCCTCTGCTTCCCGAGTGCTGGGATTAAAGGCAAGTGCCACCATCACCTTGCTAAATCTGTATTTCAATACATTGAAAAAGTTTTATAAATAATTCAAACTTGATTTACAAAGAATAAACCAAAAAGACATTAATGACTTAACCAATCTGCAACACGTAATAAGACTCAAGTGGTAACAAAGTCTTCTAACTGAAAAAACTCCACCTCAGACAGATTCACTGCTGTATTCTACCAAAATTTTAATGATAACCTGACACCAGTGTCCCCCAAACTACTCCAAGGAACAGAAAGATAAAGAGCACTGAGATTTGTTTCATAACAGTATACTCTATATTTAAATCCAGATTAAAAACAGACACACACAAAATATGATAAACAATGATACAAAATTTCTCAATTAAAAACCTGGCAAGCAGAATTCAAGAATTACCAGATCATCAAAATGACTAAGTGGCCTGAATTCTAAGTTAATTCATGATTAAGTGGGCTGAATTCTAGGGAGATAAGAACAGTTGAACCCCAGCAGAGGCAGGTGATCTCTGAGTTTGAGGCCAGACTTGGTCTGCAGAGTTACAAGACAGCCAAAGCTATATAATTATTTTAGTCAATGCTCTACTGCTGTGAAGAGACATTATGACCAAGGCAGTGCTCATAAGAGAAAAGGTAATTTGCTTTTTGATTTGACAGGGGATTACAATTAAGAGATTGCCTCGAGTCTCAGAAGAAATCTGGATTTTGGTTATTTTAAAAACAAAATCTTTAAGTTTTGATATTGAAACTGTGAGAGATTAAGGGAAACTTTTGGTGTTGGATTAAGTGCATTTTGAATGATGGGGGCTAGGAAGTGGAATGTGGTGGTTTGAAGAATGGCTTTCACAGGCTCTTATCTTTGTAGGAGGCCCCCCACTCTATCTGGGAAAAAGCAGGTGTGGCCTTCTTGGTGTGTCAAAGCTGCTGAGTTTTAGGTGTGCTTCCTGCCTCCTGCATGTGGATCAAGATGTGAGCTCCCAGCTACTGCTCCTATCACCTACAGTTACGCTTTCATTCCACCATCATAGACTCTAGTCTCTGGAACAACACGCCCAGTTAAACTCTTCTATACATTGACGTGGTCATGGTATTTTATCACAGAAATAAAAAAGAAGTGAAAACACACCCTGAAATAGCAAAAATAATCCTGCGGGCAGGGTAGGAGGCTAACTATGAGAGGTATCATACTAGATTTTACAATGTACTATAGAGTCCTAGTATCAAAACCAGCATGGCATGAAACAAAAACAAACAGATCAATGAAGGAGAATACAGAACCCAGAAACAGACCTATAGTTATAGCCTCTTAATTAGTGACAAGTATCAGAGGGGAAAACATCCTCTTCTACAAATGTTCTGACAAAACTCAGTATGAACAATGCCTAAGAATGAAACAAGAACCCTCTCATATACAAAAATCAAGACAGTGAAACTGCCACAACAAAAAGTAGGAAACCACACCCCTCTCATATACAAAAATCAAGACAGTGAAACTGCCACAACAAAAAGTATGAGGACACTTCTGAGCATGCAGCCCAAGCAGCCATGAGTCATCCTTAAAGGAGAGAGTCATCCTTACACAGTGTACAGAACTGTGACAAATGCACTTCCATCTGAAATAGACTCAGTTACATTCATCAATGAGGGACTGTCACTGGGAAGGAGGGAGAAGGCACAGGAGGCTAAAAGCCCAGCAAAGCTAAGCAGTATGAGAATGCAGACCATGTTGCTAAGTGTGTAGCACTTTTCTGAAACTAGATTATGGCCAGAAAAGATGAAGATTCCCTTTCTGATACTGTAATAGGCCAAAAGCCTAATCATGTTCTGTGGTACATGTGATGGTTATTCTTGGTTGTCACCTTGATTACATCTGGAATTAACTAAAACCCCAAATGGAGCACAACTGTGAGGGATTTTTGCTTGGTTTAAGTGGGAAGATCTACTTCTAATCCTGATCTTAAGGAAGATGTGCCTTTAATCCAGATCTTTTGAGCTGGGAAATCCTACTTGTAATCTGGGCCACACCTTCTGCTGGAAGCCTATCTAAGGACATGGAAGAAGGGAGTTTTTGCTTGTTTGCTTTCACCTCATTAGCAAGTCCATTCCTTTATTGGCATTAGAACCAACTTCTTCAGGATTCCACTACATCCTTTCCTTCCACAATAAAACTTCTTTCCCATATAAGTTCTGCCTGATGGTGTATCTGTCCCTCATCTTCCATGGGACCCTTCCAAGGTCCTCCTCCAACCATACTCATAACATTGTGAACACTCCAAAATGAGACTATCAATTACAATCACAATGAAAATAAAATAAAGGATCCAAAAAGGAAGGATTGGGTAATTTCCTATAGCTTAAATGTGTTCCCAGAAAACATGCTAAAAGCTTAATCACCAATGCAAGTGTTTAGTGGCAAGGCCCAGTGGCAGGTGTTTAAATCATGAAGTCTTCCTTTTCATAAATGGATGAGGGACAATTACAAAACAGCCTGAAGCCACCAACCTACCATTTCACGCTCTCTCAGTCACTATCACAGAATAGGAATGCAACAACACCCTTACCAGATGCTGGGACTGAACACTGCAATTCCCAATCTTTGAATCCTAATAGTTTTTAACAAGCTACACAATATGCGCCATGATACTAACAACACAAAACAGACACCTTAAGTATCTGCTACCTAACAACACAAAACAGACACCTTAAGTATCTGCTACCTTAGTAACTACCAGTCAAGAGTATTTAACCATGTGTGCAGGTGAGTAGTTAAACAAAAACAGAATTCAGAAAATTCAATAAACTCAGAATGCCAATGTTCTTAGAGATGTGACCATATTGATGAAGGAACTTCGCTTCCAGACTTTAACCATGATTTTCAGAAAGCTGTTTCAAGAATCACAAAAACTTCTGCATGATTATCTGTTTACCATTTGATTGCAATTTTGAACAAAACTACTATCCTACCTCAAAAGTAATGTGTTCACTATCTTCCCCATCCTTTTACTTGCTTTGGTTCTACTACACCAAAACATCTGTCAAAAGATGCTACCTATGATCCTAACACGTCACTCCAAAATTCACATGGAAATGTAAGCTCCAATACACAGTATTGAGGTTGGGTCTGTAAGATCTGATTAATTCACAAAGGGTCCTCCCTGTAGGTGGGATTACGACCTCTGTTAAAGACTCTTCACACAGCTGTTTGTCCTTCAGCCACACTGAGCAAGGGTCACTCCCTGAAGCAACAAGACCAGGTTCTCAGCAGCTCCTGCATCTACTGGCACTTGGAGCAATATTAATCTATTGCCTACAAATTATCCAGCTTTAGGCATTTTGTTACATCCCAAACAGTCTAAGGAAGAAAAGCATCTGAATTTACAATGATTCATCAGTGTTCTTAATTTTTCCTTCAAACCAAAGACTCAAGAAATTAAAACCAAGTATAATCTGTCACTAAAACTTGATAAATGTCTGTCATGGAAAAAAATGTTTATTTTGAAATTATTTTAATTTAGAATAGAAAACCTCTTAGGGAGGAGGAAAGGAAAAAGAAACCACAAAGTATACAGGCAACTTTTTTACTTCATGAGCTTCTCACACCCTCATTTGTTCACTAGTTCCCACGAAGATAAAGCACTCAGCCACCCCTGAAAAAGAAAGAAAAATGGTCACTCTTAAGCAGAGAGTATAACAACAATCATTTGAAATGTAACATGCTGTGATTTTATGAAATCAAACCCAGTTTCAAGAGAATAGCACCTCACTTTATTTCAAGACAGTATAAAAGAATAATACTAAGTGAACATCTGAAGCTGAAAGGCCTTAACGATGGGTGGCTTTGGGGCAGATGAATTTTACATTATTATGCTCCTGTGGGAAATGTCATTTTAGAACAGTCTGACATGTCTTTCTAAACTAACAGAACCCATTAATTACACAAGAAATTTTTCAATTTTATGTGACATACAAGTTAGAAACCAGTTTCAAAAAATGTATACTACAGTTCAGCACCACTGTTTTCAACCACTGGACTCTATCAGAAAGATTCAAGAATAAACAAAACTAACATTCTAAATTTAAAAGAATATCATTAATATTTATTTTAGTAGTGTAACACCAACTAGAAAAATAATTCCATTAGTAGATAAAAATTATATACCCATGTATACATTTTACTGCTAACTTACTAACGTGTTTTATTCTAACTCCTTTAAATTACAGTATGGCATACATTAATTTTGACTATAATTGTAAAACAAGGCAAATATAAAAACCACCCCCCCCCCAAAAATCTATCATGAGGGAAAAAAAATGGGATTACAATCCAATCTAGTGAGTTTTCAGTTCTATTTCTCTTGGCATCCTCACTGAAGAATTTCCATCATTTCAAGCACCTAAACAATTTCTTTCAATTCTATAGCTATAGCAGTGTAACACGGGAAGTGTGTTTTCTGTGGCGCCTTCCCCACTTCCACCCAAAAAACAAAACAAAACAAAAAATATTTTATTTGGCTTTCATTTTGGGAGGAAAATAATAAGTGGTCAATAACTTGTAAAACAACAAAATAAATTTTAATTACAAAAAACTTTCCAAGTAGCAAATTTTTTAATTGCAAAAAAAGCATCAAGTAGATAGCAAAAATCGTTTCCTATGTTGCTCTAGCACTTATGAGCCACTCAAGTTACTCACTGTCTTCATGCCTCAGTTTCTTCCTAAGGATTAAATGAGTTGATTCACATTTGACAAAAACAGAAACCAGGACAAGATCTCAGCATAGGCAATTGTGCCCATGTTTACTAGAAAAGGATAAAGACTTCAAGTCATTTACTTAATTAGACTAATATTTATTCATTGTCCTTTTTTATTTATGTTTTGTTTGTTTGTTTTTGGTTTTTCGAGACAGGGTTTCTCTGTGGCTTTGAAGGGTGTCCTGGAACTAGCTCTTGTAGACCAGGCTGGTCTCGAACTCACAGAGATCTGCCCGCCTCTGCCTCCCAAGTGCTGGGATTAAAGGCATGCACTACCACCTCCCGACTATTCTACTTATATACCAATCCATCTTCATGTGTGTACATGTATGATGCGTATTTACTCTCAGTAAGACTGGCACCATTATAAAAGTCTCCTCTCACGGCCTCTAATGCTATTGTCCTTCTGCCCCAATAACCAAATGATAACTCAGCATGCAAGGATCAAGGTCAGGCCCTAACCAGATACCGAACCCACTACAGCATTATAAATTTGCATTTCAGTAAGAAATAAATTTCTACTAGCTCCAATTTACCCAGTCTTGGGCATTTTGTTAAAGCAGCCCAAAAGACTACAACAGAAGAGCGTCTGGTATACAATGTTCACTAGTTCTTTTTCATATAAACCAGAATGTCAGTGTCAAAAAGAAAAACAAACTCATTATTTTGTATATTAGATTTGATTGTTTTTAGTGAAAAATGTTTACTTCGAAATAAGTACAGTTTAGAAATAAAACATTTTAGGAAAGTGATGACAGGAAGAGGAAAAAAAAAGTATACAGGCAGATAAGTGACAGACCTGCCTCCAAATTCACAATCTTAATTTGACAGACGCACATATCAAAGTATGACCCAAGTTCACTGAAGTCTGTCAAGAAAGATAAAAGCATTCTGCCAAGAAAGTGAATGTTTGGGGAAAAAAATTAGCCCCCTGACTCCTAAAAAGTCAACAATACTTCATTTGTTGTTCTGGAGGTCAAAGTTAGGGGCATCATCACAAAAAAAAAAAAAAAAAAAAAAAAAAAAAAAAAAAAAAAAAAAGCTTTGTGTCATTAAAGAACTTTCACACCAATGAACATCCCAGCCATGATGTGATGTGAGGCAAGAGGAGCACACTCACTCACTTGAGAAGCTAATGCACTTCTTCCCCATTGAGAAGACACCTGTGGCCCACAGTCAGACTCGGGTTTCTACCTCAGAAATCTCTCCAAGATTCCACAACTCCAAAGTTGGCATTTCTCATTAGTAATACAAATGGGGTTTCTTAATGGAGAGAAGAGAGCCAATGACTTAGTTCCTTCCAGCTTTCTTTTTCGTTCTATTTTGTTTTGATATATGGTTTCACTCTATAGCACAGGCTGGCCTGGAACTTAGAGCAATCTTCCTGCCCCTAACATTCCACTCCAAAGTTGGAGGATTTTAGGCATATACCAAGCATGTCCATCTTAACCCTAGATAAAATTTTTTATTATCCCAAAGTATCCCTATGTGTTACTTCTGTTTAAACCTATCTAACAGTATGAATTTACTTACATGCCAGCTGGCAGCTGAACATATGCAGCAAAAAGGAACTGCTGCTGTATCTTTAAAAGCAGTCCTCAGCAGTGTGGAGGCAGGCATGCCACTGTACTTGAATGAAAGCAAGAAGAGGTGGGAGGGGATGCACTTGCTCTGTGTGTGTGTGTGTGTGTGTGTGTGTGTGTGTGTGTGTGAAAAGCAACTCTACCAATATTATCAGGAAAATACCTAGTATTGAAGGGATTATAAAATTAAGGAGTTTCCTAGATTTGAACTTTACCACCCCAAATTGGAGAGGAAGTTGAAACTAATGTCATAATTGACTACAAAATTACAGACTACAGAAGAACCTGGAGACCTGGCTGTCTCAGTCATTAAAGGCATACATTTTCTTGTAGAAGACTAGGGCTCAGTTCCCAGCAACCACTCTAGGCAACTCACAATTGCTTGTAACTTCAGCTTCTGGGGATTCAACGCCCTTTTCTGGCCCCCGAAGAGCACTGCAGTCACATGTACACACCCCAACACATGTACACAATTAACAAACTACATGTGCTGAACTACATGGGCATGTGTTGAGACGCACACCCAGTCCTTCAACTAAACTCAACTTGTAAATAAATATGGGTTTCTCTAACTGTTCTATTTTAGGAGGAAAAGCATATGGCAAAAAAATAGTGGGATATTTTCTCTCAGCCTTCTCTCCTTTGTTACATACCCAAAGGTTATAAACACCCCGCCAAAAACAGCAGTGGTTCAATAACAAATTATCCACTGGGTATTTTTCTTAAGGTCTTACCTGATTTCTGAAGTCATTAACCTGTAATATAATGCAAGTAAGAATTTCTGTCCTCACAGAGAATGGTTAGTTAAACCGCCCAAGATTATGACACATACTAAGCAACAAGAAAAAAGATGTAGGCAACCTGGTTCTGTCAGATTTCTACCAAAAATAGTAATTTTTTCAGATGAAGCATCATTTTCTGCACCTTAAAAGAATGAAGACAAACAGGGCTTGTTATGAATGTAGTCTGTCACTGAATACTTGGCAGTGATATAGTGTGCCTTTGATTTTGTTAGATATAAAAGTGTTTTGAAAGTTGAAAGTATTATTAGATACACAATATCAGTACATTATTAAAATACCCTGGGTCATATCTGTACATTAATAAAATGAGCTAATCTGCAACTCAAATGGTTTCAGTTGCAGTTATTGCTAGATGGACTATTTTATAAAGTTACTTACACAATAATGTTATTAATAGGGATATGGATGAGTTTCACAAAGAAGCCAATGAATCCCATGATAGCAAATCCTATGGCTGTGGCCATGGCAATCTTCTGGAATTCTGAATACAAAACACAAAATCTGCATTAACTTTTTGGCAGACACTGAAAGTATGAAGAAAATCTATCAGTAATATCAATAATGTTACCAGCATTCACTTTGATTGGTTGATACATAATTTTAAAAATGAAGAAAAAGATAGAGTAATAATAGTACAATGCTTGACTTACAGGTTTCTAAATTCCATACTTTGTTAATATTTAAAACACAGAAATGAAAATACTATGCTCACAAATTCATCAGCAAACACCAGAAGTATTTATTATTCTCAGTGACCAAAATAAAAAGCAAGAACAAAGGCTTAAAGCCAGCATACATAGTGCTTTGTACTATAACATTTTTTTTCCTGTAACATATTGATTATAACAGTAAAATCGTAGCTTTGGGTACATTATCAAGAACTACTTGTCTTTAATACCATGAAGTAAAAGGTAAGGATTGAAAATTCATGGTCAGCAGTTTTATAAAAAGGTTACAACTCTGGTATATTCTATCTCCTAAGGACACATTCTGTGACTGCCTCACCTAGTTCTCCTATTATGTGCTACCAGATCTCATTAGCTTCCTTCTGACTCATCAAGGCAAGAATCAAAATGTGCAACTGCAATTATTGGATGGCCTTCCCTGACAGACCCACAGCTTCATGAGAATAAAGACTAGTATCTATTATTTGATTTCGGTATCTGATCTGTGTTAGCTAGTTTTAAGCCAGCTTGACACAACCTAGTCATCTGAGAGAAGGGAACTCCAATTGAGAAAAATCCCTCTATAAGATCCAGCTATAGACAGACAATCCTGTTGTGCATTTTTGGTTTGTTTTTGTTTTTCAAAACAGGGTTTCTCTGTGGCTTTGGAGAGCTCTTGTAGACCACGCTGGTCTCAAACTCACAGAGATTCGCCTGCCTCTGCCTCCCAAGTGCTAGGATTAAAGGTGTGCGACAACACGACCTGGCTGCCTGTTGTGCAATTTTAATTAGTGATTGGTTGGGGAGGACCCAGCCCACTGTAGGTGTGGACACCCCTAGGCTGGTGGTCCTAGGTTCTACAAGAAAGTAGGCTGAACAAGCCATGAGGAAGAAGCCAGTAAGCAGCACCTGTCCACACTCAATGGATCAGCTCTCACCTCTAGGTTCCTGCCCTGCTCCTCACTTGGCTTCCTTCAACGGACTGTGATTCAAGATAGGAAAAACCAAATAAATGCTTTCCTCCCCAAACTGCTTTTGGTCATAGTGTTTCATCACATCAATACTAACCCTAAGATAATATGTTACTCCATTAAGTCTGCCTTAAATTCTAACCTAGTCAATTCATGAATTTAAGTAGAAAAAATCTAGCATATCTTCTAAGCTATGAGATAAGAAAGCAAAATAAACTTTCTGGGTTGTAATAACTGTACCATTAATTTCACATTAAAAGTTTTATTCACTGGAGGGCAGAGCAGGGAAGATGACAAAGATTCCAAACACTGGTAATATGGGAGATACTAAATTTAGTATGGATGAAGAACCCTTAATAATCTCTTACCATAAAGCAAAAACATAAGCAGTTCTTGCTAAGGACATAAAGAAAAGGGCAATGGTGGTGACATTAATGCATGGTCCTTTTAGTGTGTTCTTAGCAGCACTTTATCACTGAGTTGGTTCCCAGCCCTGCAAAGAGTAATCAGAAGATGTGAGCCAGGTGATGGTGGCACACATCTTTAGTCCCAGCACTTGGGAGGCAGAGGCACACAGTCAGCCTGGTCTGCAGAGCAAGTTCTAAGACAGGCTCCAAAGCTACAGAGAAACCCTGTCTCAAAAAACAAAACAACAACAAAAAGATGTTAACACAAAACTTAGAAAATGCAAAGTTTTAATGTTTTCTCTCATGGTCAAGATATTATTACCTTTTCTATCGGGTTTGGTGCATCTTTTTACCAGCCGAATTGAGTCCTTGACAAACTGCCGACTGGGCTCAACAAACTGCATTACCTGGTCCATGGTTGACAGCTTAAAAAATAAAGGTGAAAACACAATACTCATTAGAATTATTTCAAATATTAGGGCTTTCTTAACAATTATATTCTCACTATTCCTTATAAGAAACCAGTAACTAGCCAGGCGTTGGTGGCTCACACTTTTAATCCCAGCACTTGGGAGGCAGAAGCAGGCAGCTCTCTGTGAGTTAGAAGCCAGCCTGGTCTACAGAGTGAGTTACAGGACAACCTCCAAAGCAGAGAAACTCTGTCTCAAAAGAACAAAAGAAACCAATAACTAAAGTTTCTTAAGTTCAAACTGTTGAAAATTAGTATCTGCTATAGCAGAGTTTCAACTATGGTGTAACAAGACCCTAAATTGGGTGTAAAAGTGTATTCTCATCTACTTGGTAGCAATCATGGCCATATAATATATTTAAGTAAAAGCACATTTCACAGGATGGACAGACCGATGAAGCATCCTTCTAAAAAACAAAAATTGGTAAGATCCAGATTCTGAAAAGCCTCCAGCTAAATGTTTACATTTGAACATTTTAAGGTTCTTTTGAAACTCCATTAATTAACAAGAATGTTAATCAACTGTAAGACAACCCTGAGAGCCACAGGTAATGGTGCCACGGCATTTGTACTTTATTTCCAGCTCTTAGATGGCAGATGAAAATATAAAACTCCTTAAGCCCTGGTTTCCTTATTAAGTCGTGAACCCTGGACAACAGCTGAAACAGTTAAGATACACACTAAGAAAGCTATCCACAGCTTGATCCAAAAAGCAAAGGAATGCCACTGTTTTCTCACTGTTTCACTGAGAAAATCCACACTAGACCAATCTCTGCACTCGGTGGTCAAGGAGAGCCACTAGTTCACTAAGAGACCTGTTGATGCAGACTTTTGAACAACTAGACTTGAACACAATTTCACAAGACAAGCACACTGAGAGGTTGGGGAAGCAGGCTCTGGAAGCCATAAGAGACTATGAGTTCACCAACAGGGCTGGCAGGGGATGTTCTGCGAGAAAGCTGAACCACCAGGTTCCAACGCTAAGTCAAGAGGGTTCATGAACTACCGAATACCTCCTCTAGACAGGTTTGACTGGATACTTCCACCTGAGGCCACACAGGTAGATCCTGTGCCTGGATTTGGTCTCTGTCCACCTGCCCATCAGCGATCCAGCCCAGCGGACTTGTCCGGATCCTGCAGCTCCCAGGTCTCAGCTCATGGCCTCCGGGCTCATCAATGGCGCCTTCGCCCTCGTCTCTGCAGCCGGTCAATACCGTGGCACCTTCACCCCATCCCTCATTCCCGTCGTTCCCAGGCCCGCTCATTCCATGGCCTCCCGACCCCCTCGTTCCCCTAGTCCTCAGACCCGCTCATCGCGAGCCCCCTCCGTTCCCGGCCCCAATCGTTCCGCCGGGCCCTCGCATCTCCAAACCCTTGTTGTCCCCCGGTCCCCTCGTGTCCCCAACCGCCCATCCCGCGGCCTCTTAATCCTCTGGACCCTGGACCGGCTCTCTCCGCCCAGCACCCACGAGAAAACCCTTACTTGAGGGATGTCGGCTTGAGAAGCTTGAGACACGTAGCCTAGAAGAGGAGCGAGCCCAACGGAACCGGAAGCTGATTCTCCACAGCCCACCCATTCCTCCCTTCAATTGGTTAGTCACGCAGAGACGTCATTGAGCCGGCGCAGTGCTACGTGTGTCTCTCCCGGCTTCCGGAGTGGGGCGGACCGAAGCGGCTCCGGTCCCTCCTGCAGAACCTGGGGGTCCTGCTGGGCCCTCTTTCCCATCACTCACCTCCGGATCTCGGGCGCAGCCGTTCCAGCAGCCTCAAAGTAAATCCATGAAATGGACTTTTAGCTAATGAGTGTCTGCATCACAGCTCCGAGGCTCCCCGCTGTGCATGTAAATAATGTCACCGATCAAAAATGGAACAAGCGTTGTAGTATGAGCGACCTAATTAAAAATAATCTCCATTCCCAGAAAGTGGATTTCTGCTGGTAGTCATGGGAATATATTCCTATAGCAGGAATTAAGGCCGGCTACCTAGCGGTTTCTCATTTAGCTATGAGGATTAAGATGTATTGAAGGTGCTAGCAATCTCCGAGTGCAATATTTTTGGGGCATGTTTGAGTGAATACGTGTTTCTCAGATAATCTTGATTTGCTCCATCATTAGGGCAAGAGCCAGCCTCAGGGCTTTGAAGAGTTTTTGCTTTATTTTATGAGCAACATACTGCAGTCGAGTACTGCGATTGCAATGTTTTGCTTTCATGAGGAAGAAAATGCAACTACTGCTTTATAACATTATTATGCTTTTCATACTTTATTACCGCACGTCTATAATCTCAGCACTTGAGACTAGGAGGTGAGTAGATGTTCAAGGTCTTGTTTACCTTCGTAAAGAGTTGAAGGACAGCCGGGCGGTGGTGGCGCACGCCTTTAATCCAAGCACTCGGGAGGCAGTGGCAGGCAGAACTCTGTGAGTTCAAGGCCAGCCTGGTTTACAAGAACTACTTCCAGGACAGCCTCAAAAGCCACAGAGAAACCCTGTCTCGAAACCCCCACCCCCCAAAAAAGAAAATGAAGGACAGCCTGGGTTACATGGAATTCTGTCTCAAAACAAAAACAAAAAATTATGTCAAACATTCAAACCCAAAATTAAGTACTGCAAAGAAATATAGCAGAAAAGTGAATGATGTATTAATACATCATTAAAAGAAATAATCCATAAGAATTCATAAGAGGAACTGTGCAAAACAAAAAGTATAATTTTAAAACCACTAAAACAGTTAAGTTAAATATAACCACCTTGTGACGGTTAATATTATCAGCTTGACATGATCTTGTCTAGCCTAGGAGACAAACCACTTTGGCATCCCTGTGAAGAATTAGGTTAGGATAGGTTAGCCTTCCTCCCTCCCTCCTACCCCTCTTCTCTCTCTGACACCATTCCATGACTGGGCTTCCTGATAGTATAAAAAGGAGAAAGCTAACTGGGCATTAGCATTCTCTGCTTTCTGGTGATGGGTAGAGTGTGAGCAGCTTTGTCAATCCCCTGAAGCTAGACCTTCCCCACCATGCTGGTAAACCCTCAAACTCTGAGCTAGAATAAATCTTCCTCCCTTAAGTTACTTTTGTCAGAGTATTTTATCACAGCAACAGGAAAAATGATGACCATAACCCCCATGTGGGATTATAGCAGTGCAATAGAGCACCTTTAACAACAACAACAAAAATAGCAGTTTGTGGTAAAAGTAATCTCTGAATCTCCACAATTCCAATTCTGGATATTTACTGAAAATTGAAAAACATTTGCAAAAGGGTTTTTCTTAAATAAAATTCCAAAATATAATCAAATCCAAAACCTTACAAACAGCAGAGGTCTGCAAGAGAACACTGAACAGGCCTACAGATATAAATTTGGCTTAGTTGGCCTCTCTATTGCTGAGACAGAGACCATGACCAAAAGCAGCTTGGGGAGGGAAAGGTTTATTTCATCTTCCAACTCCTGGGTCATAGTCCATCACTGAAGGAAGTCCAGGCAAGAAGTCAAATCAAAGCCGATAATTTGGGATGCAGAGGGACATTGATAGTACCTTGTGTTGTAATATATGAACTTTTGCATATAAGTGGAGAGGAAATGAAAATCATGATAAGTTAGTATTGGATTGATGGACAGTAAGGGTGGGGATTTATGTAGAAGGGGGAACTATGGGTGCAAAGGAGGGGGGAACTTAAGCAATTTGAGAGAAAAGGTAAGGCTGAAATGATAGCAATAAAAAGCACAGTATCAGTGTTGTGACCCCCCAGTAGGTCAATCACACTCAATGGCAGGCCTCACTCAGAAGAGTGCTTGAACAACACAATCAAACTTGATGACAAAACAAACAAATAAAACCCCTCAAAGTTGGATGGGTAGGATGGTGAAGGTAGATATGGGAGGAGTTGGGAAAAGGGGGTTTATATGGTTAAAATACATAAATGCGTTGTATGAATTCCCAAAGAATTCATAAAAATACTATTTAAAAATATGATGTCAACAGTCAGTAAGACAAAACGACCACCCACAGAATGGGAAAAAATCTTCACCAGCCCCACATCTGACAGAGGACTGATTTCCAAAATATACAAGGAGCTCAAGAAGCTAGCCACCAAAACACCATACAATGAAATTAAAAAGTGGGGTGCAGAACTAAACAGAGATTTTTCAACAGAGGAATCTGAAATGGCTGAAAGACACTTAAGAAAGTGCTCAAAATCCTTGGCCATCAGAGAAATGCAACTCAAAACAACTCTGAGATACCACCTCACACCTGTCAGAATGGCTAAAATCAAAAATACCAATGACAACCTATGCTGGAGAGGTTGTGGAGAAGAAGGAACACTCCTCCATTGCTGGTGGGAGTGTGAACATGTAAGACCACTTTGGAAAGCAGTATGGCGGTTGCTCAGAAAAATGGGAATCAATCTACCTCAAGATCCAGCCATTCCTCTCTTGGGTATATACCCAAATACTGCATGTCCATACAACACGGACATATGTTCAACCATGTTCATAGCAGCATTGTTTGTAATAGCCAGAAC